ATTATGCACACAGAATCGTGCATAATTCAGGTTGGCGAGAGTGACAGACCCGTTCTACTTGCAAAGCGCTTACCATTTCTATCCTAAAACCCTCTGAGAGGGCCTCTCAACCAGCGACCGGCGCTCTCCGAGCCTCTTGACTGACCCCAGAGGAGGAGTGGGAGAGAGCGGCAAGTACCGCCGCAGCCAATCAGATTTGAATGATGCTAGCAAAGAAAAGTGTCAGCCGTCTGATAATAGTCAGGAGCTGGCGGATGGTGACTGAGCTTGAGCTCCCTGCCGCGGGCCTGCGGCCCGTGCTGCCCGGCAGGCTGGGACTGGTATTGTCGGCAAGTCAGCCACCAGAAGCCATTTCCCTTGTGCCCTGGCTGGGGTGCTACAGGAGCCCGCGAGGAATTTCCAAGACGTGTGAGAGATTGCCCCCGCTACTTTTCTCGGATACTTTTCTTGGCTCCTTCTTGAACTCTTTCGGACATTGATTGCAACAAGTGTAACAGTGCCACTCAGTGACAGCTGTTGGGTACAGGGAGTCAGTCACACTGTCAGTGTGCTCCTGCAGTACTATGCCTGCTGCCGTGTAGTTGCGCTCAACGGCCGCGCACTGCGCACTTTGCAAGCAAGCAAGCAAACTCGCTGGTGACGGGGTAGCTTGCACACCGAGTAGAAGAGCTGTCGTAATTGTGAAATGCTCTGCCGTTTGCTGGGTCGTTGCTGCCCTCCTGCGTATCCCCGAATATCAGCGTGCTTTGTCGTCGTTACTAGTAACCTTAGACCACAGTTGTCACCACCTGCGTGGTTTGGTCCTTTGGCAGGAAAAGTTGGAGACATGAACCCCGCAACTGAAACGGGTTTGCGGACAAGAGACCCTTTGAACTAAATTGATTCCTTGTCTGCTCCAAAACCTGTCAACAGAAGCATTGGCGGCTTCGTACTGACTGCTGTCTGAACTATCAACTTCGCTTTCGACGGGTTCGTCTTCCTCCGGTGCACTCTCAGACTCAAAATGTACTAGAATTATGGCATTAGCACTAGTTTTGCGACCGTGTTGGCACGATGCAGCAGTTTGTTGTTGTTTTCTGAACTTTTCAAGCCTTGAATTGCTTCGGTGTTGTACGAAATTACTGATAGAGTTGCCAACGTTGCCGCTGACTCGCGGCTGAGGATACCGAGGCCAGGGCGAAGCAGCTTATCCAAATTCTGGCTCAAAAACCTGTCAAAATCGTCAGAAATTGTGTTTTAGATGCATTTCTGGCCGGAAAAGCTAGTTTCACGTGGTTTTCCTGGGTACCAAAATTTTGCATAATTAGCCACAAAGGTAGCCACAAGGTTTGTGGCTACTTTGTGGCTCCCAATTAGCCACTAGTGGCTATCTTGTGGCTGACAGCTATGGGGTCGGCGCTGGCTCTGAAGCAGGTCCAAGTCCGGGCGCGGGATCCAAAGCTGCTCCGCCAACATGCGTCCGCTTGGCTTTATGGCAACGCGGAGGCGGACCCCAGGCTGTGGCTTTCTCCCGCGGAGCTCGCAGTGGCCATCCGGCTTCGGCTGGGGCTGCCCATCGCCCCCATGCCGAGCATCTGTCGCCTCTGCGGGACAGGCTCGGCAGACGTCGACGGAGTGCATGCGCGAAGTTGCTTCTCCGGCGGGCGCCGGACGAGAATGCACAACGCACTCCGCGATGTCATCGCTGACTTCGCCCGCCGTGGCTTGCTGGCCCCGGCGGTCGAGCGCCCCGTGTTTTCGAACACGGAGCGGAAGCGCCCGGACATCAGCTATGTCCGGGACGGCACCACCGTTGTGCTGGACGTCGCCGTCACCTTCCCCCTGCAGCCTTCGAACCCCCAGTACGCTAAGCGGGCGGCGGAGAAGCCAGGGGGGGCGGCGACAGCCTACGCAACAGCTGTTAAAGAAGGTAAGTACCGCGGCATAATAGACAACGAGCCAAACCCTCGGGAATGGCTCGCTGTCCCGCTAGTCGTGGACACCTTCGGAGCGTGGTGTCCTGGAGCACTCACGGAGTTGCGGCAAATAGCTCGCAAAAGCGCCCTCCGTGAAGACCGGACCGCTTCGGCCGCCTGCCAGGACTTCTTCCACCAATTGAGCTTTCAAGTAGCCCAGGGGGTGGCAAGAATAGTCATTTCATCTGGCGGGGCGCGACCGGACGAAGCGGTCCACCCTGGTGCAGGGGGTAGTGTCACTGCATCGCGGGTTTTTTTACCTGGTCGGACCTGCTTGCTAGCAGGCCAGCCCAGGTCGCAGTGAGACTGGCGTTCACTGTGTGCTGAAGAAGCATTTTTTTGGGCTCCCGCTCCGGAAGCAACCGGATACCGGCAGCCCCGCTGTACTAACATGTCGAGTACAGTGTCCCGCGCTCCCAAAAAAAAAAAGAGTTTTTTTTTTTTGGAGCGCGGGACACTGTACAAGCCATGTTGGTACAGCGGGGCTACCGGTATCCGGTTGCTTCCGGAGCGGGAGCCCAAAAAAATGCTTCTTCAGCACACAGTGAACGCCAGTCTCACTGCGACCTGGGCTGGCCTGCTAGCGAGCAGGTCCGACCAGGTAAAAAAACCCGCGATGCAGTGACACTACCCCCTGCAACAGGGTGGACCGCTTCGTCCGGTCGCGCCCCACCAGATGCAATGACTATTCTTGCCACCCCTTGGGCTACCTGAAAGCTCAATTGGTGGAAGAAGTCCTGGCAGGCGGCCGAAGCGGTCCGGTCTTCACGGAGGGCGCTTTTGCGGGCTATTTGCCGCAACTCCGTGAGTGCTCCAGGACACCACGCTCCGAAGGTGTCCACGACCAGCGGGACAGCGAGCCATTCCCGAGGGTTTGGCTCGTTGTCTATTATGCCGCGGTACTTGCCTTCTTTGACAGCTGTTGCGTAGGCTGTCGCCGCCCCCCCTGGCTTCTCCGCTGCCCTCTTAGCGTACTGGGGATTCGATGGCTGCAGGGGGAAGGTGACGGCGACATCTAACACAACGGTGGTGCCGTCCCGGACATAGCTGATGTCCGGGCGCTTCCGCTCCGTGTTCGAAAACACGGGGCGCTCGACCGCCGGGGCCAGCAAGCCACGGCGGGCGAAGTCAGCGATGACGTCGCGGAGTGCATTGTGCATTCTCGTCCGGCGGCCGCCGGAGAAGCAGCTCCGCGCATGCACTCCGTCAACGTCAGCCGAGCCTGTCCCGCAAAGGCGACAGATGCTCGGCATGGGGGCGATGGGCAGCCCCAGCCGGAGCCGGATGGCCACCGCGAGCTCCGCGGGGGATAGCCACAGCTTGGGGTCTGCCTCCGCGTTGCCGTAAAGCCACGCGGACGCATGTTGGCCGGAGCAGCTTTGGATCCGCGCCCGGACTTGGACCTGCTTCAGGGCCAGCGCCGACCCTTGGAGCTGGCCTGACCTGCCCAGCTCCTCAGTCATCGAGATGATGAGGGCCTTGCGCCGCTCGTCATGAACCGTCGCGGACCACACTTTCTGTCCACGTCCCCCGTAGTTATCCCGTGCCTGCAGAGCGTTCTGGATCTTCTCCAAAACGGTTTCGAAGGGTGCAAGGCGCGGGTCATCGAGGGACGCTAGGAAAGTGTCGTCCTCGTCCAGAAGCATGGCGTGCGGCAGCACGTAGGGGGTCACCAGGGATGGAAGGCAAGCCTCGCCGTCAAAGGTGGCCGCGATATGCGCGATCGCCGCTGTGTCTGCACAGGAGTGCAGACCCAGGCCGCCTAGCCTGACGGGAAGGGAAGCCAGGGCCCAGGCGGAGGCGTCCGTCTCGATACCCGTGATCGTCGCCAAGCAAGACTGCGTGGCCTGATCGATGCAAGCGAAGTCGAAGACGGCCCCCACAGCGCGCATGAGGTGGACGACGCTGACGAAGCCGGCGCAGAACTTCAGCAGAGTCAGAGCCACATGCGCATCCGGGAGGGAGGCTATCATCCGCATCTTCCTCTCGGCGCCTTTGACCGCTTCATCGACGAAGACACGCATCTTCTCGGGGGAACCGCAGGGGACGCCAAGGTGCTGAATCTCGTCTAGCGGACAAGTCTCGATGCCTTGCAGGGCCTCGGGGATTGTGGCGCCGGGGGCGACGGACAGCCTGCACTTCCCCCGATTCAGGCTGAGCCCGACCGCTGTCGCCCTGTCTTCGAAGTCCCGCAGCCAGCGGCCGAGGGAGTCGAGCTCCCCCCCAGCCGCCCCGTCATCGAGGAAGAACGACAGAAGGTCAAGCTCCGCCTGGCTCAGCGCCCCCTCAGGGGCGCCCCGGGTTGCCGAGGATCCTGCCGGTGGCGGCGACGCTGCTGGGTCCCCCGAGCCTGGGGCCTGCGCCGGCACTAGAGGGGTGGGCTGGCCCTCGATGGCGCCAGGAGGCTCCGGCTGACCGGAGTCCCGTGCTTGCGTCGCGGGGGCAGGATCGGCGGGCGCCTGCGACGAAGCCGCGGGGACGGGCAGCTGATCCTCGGGGCTCGGCGGAACAACGACATCGTGCAAGGCGAGGCTGAAAAGCAGCGGCCCCAAGGGGTCCCCTTGTTGGACTCCACACTCGGAGGAGATCCTCCGGTCGCCCACCACTAGCGCGGAGTGTTTCTCGTACGCTGCCAACGCGTACCCCAACAGTTGGGGGGCGTGTCGGTTGACACTGCGGATGATCGCTTCCCGCCGCAGCATATTGAAAGCGTTGGCGAAGTCGATCTGCAGTATGCCCCTGTCGGTCACGTCTCTGTCGCGGTACAGGGCCGCAACCCTGCGGATGGCGTGCACGCCTGCGTCGGCCCCCGCCTTGACACTGACACCGACTTGCCCACTCCGCAGGAGGACGTTCGCCCCCAGGTCCTTGATTGCCCGGTCGGATGCGAGGACCTTGCCGGCCACCCGGCGCAGGATCTCCCCACATGCAATGGGCCTGATGCCGCCGGACTTCTTAACCAACGGGACGAGCCTCGCCCCGAACAGGTACGGCCGGGCGGCTGCAGCCACCCTACCGGAAGAATTTTTTTTTTTGAGAATCAGAGGCTCGGTGGTCTAGTGGCATGATTCTCGCTCAGGGTGCGAGAGGTCCCGGGTTCAATTCCCGGCCGAGCCCTTTTTTTCTGTCGCGACTTTTCCGTCCGAATGTTTTGCAAGCAAAAAAGTCGGTCGGACTCGGACCGAAAGTCGGAAAACGTAAAAGTCGGACCGAAAAGTCGGCGGCCTAAAAGACGAACCGAAAAGTCGGACCGAAAAGTCGGAAAAAGTTGGCCAAAAAGTCGGGCGGAAAGGTCGGACCGAAAAGTCGGGCGGCCTAAAAAAAGTCGGACCGAAAAGTCGGCCGAAAAGTCGGCCGAAAAGTCGGACCGAAAAGTCGGACCCGAAAAGTCGGACCGAAAAGTACCGAAAAGACGGACCGAAAAGTCGGAAAAAGTCGGCGGCCAAAAAGTCGGACCCGAAAAGTCGGACCGAAAAGTCGAACCGAAAGGTCGGAAAAAGTCGTTCCCGTTATGCTAGTACCGTAATGCTACTACTGGGGGGGGCTAATTACTATTGAACCGTATACCCCCGGTCCCTGGCTCGAACCACGTACCAACTCTTTGGCCCCCGGGTCTATTATCCACAGATCTCTTCATCGGAGCTGATCTCGAGCAAGAAGTCGTCGAAAAAGGTCTGGTACTGTGAACCGGCTTCCAGGAGCCAGGATCAGGCCCACACTGGCAACCGTGTGGCGACCAGCCATAGCTGTCAGCCACAAGATAGCCACTAGTGGCTAATTGGGAGCCACAAAGTAGCCACAAACCTTGTGGCTACCTTTGTGGCTAATTATGCAAAATTTTGGTACCACGGAAAACCGCGTGGAACTAGCTTTTTCGGCCAGAAAATGCATCTGAAACACAATTTCTGACGATTTTGACAGGTTTTTGAGCCAGAATCTGGATAAGCTGCTTCGCCCCCTATCCTCGAGTCAGCGAGAACGTTGGCAACTCTATCAGTAATTTCGTACAACACCGAAGCAATTCAAGGCTTGAAAAGTTCAGAAAACAACAACAAACTGCCGCATCGTGCCAACACGGTCGCAAAACTAATGCCAATGCCATAATTCTAGTACATTTTGAGTCGGAGAGTGCACCGGAGGAAGACGAACCCGTCGAAAGCGAAGTTGATAGTTCAGACAGCAGTCAGTACGAACCTGCCAATGCTTCTGTTGACAGGTTTTGGAGCAGGCAAGGAATCAATTTAGTTCAAAGGGTCTCTTGTCCGCAAACCCGTTCAGTTGCGGGGTTCATAGTCTCCAACTTTTCCTGCCAAAGGACCAAACCACGCAGTTGGTGACAACCGTGGTCTAAGGTTACTAGTAACGACGACAAAGCACGCTGATATTCTGGGATACGCAGGAGGACAGCAACGACCCAGCAAACGGCAGAGCATTTCACAATTACGACGGCTCTTCTGCTCGGTGTGCAAGCTACCCCGTCACCAGCGAGTTTGCTTGCTTGCCGGCCGTTGAGCGCAACTACACGGCAGCAGGCATAGTACAGCAGGAGCACACTGACAGTGTGACTGACTCCCTGTACCCAACAGCTGTTACTGAGTGGCACTGTTACACTTGTTGCAATCAATGTACGAAAGAGTTCAAGAAGGAGCCATGAAAAAGTATCCGAGAAAAGTAGCGGGGGCAATCTCTCACACGTCTTGGAAATTCCTCGCGGGCTCCTGTAGCACCCCAGCCAGGGCACAAGGGAAATGGCTTCTGGTGGCTGACTTTCCGACAATACCGGTCCCAGCCTGCCGGGCAGCACGAGCCGCAGGCCCGCGGCAGGGAGCTCAAGCTCAGTCACCATCCGCCAGCTCCTGACTATTATCAGACGGCTGACACTTTTCTTTGCAGCTTTCTAGCATCATTCAAATCTGATTGGCTGCGGCGGTATTGTTGCCGCTCTCTCCCACTCCTCCTCTGGGGTCATTGAAGAGGCTCGGAGAGCGCCGGTCGCTGGTTGAGAGGCCGAGTCAATACCCAAGATAGTACGGTTTTTCTTAGAGTTGATCAAGATAGTACATGTTTCCTTAGAGTTACCCATTATAGTACATACCTCTTAGAGTTGATCAAGATAGTACATGTTTCCTTAGAGTTGCCCATTATAGTACATCCCAAGATAGTACGGTTTTTCTTAGAGTTGATCAAGATAGTACATGTTTCCTTAGAGTTGATCAAGATAGTACATCTTTCCTTAGAGTTGATCAAGATAGTACATCTTTCCTTAGAGTTGATCAAGATAGTACATGTTTCCTTAGAGTTGTCCATGATAGTACGTTTTGCTCTGGTACGGTCTCTTATCCTGTTCTGTTCTGTCCTGTGGGGCGGAACGAAGCCCGGGCAAAACGAGGCTGGAATAAGGTCCAAAACAGTACGTTTCCCGAGTTTGTGCCCAAAACAGCACCTTTTCCTGTTTGTGCCCAAAAGAGTACTTTGTTCTAACTTGAGTGCGGGTCCAAGTTTTGAGTCCAAGTTGTGTCCAAGTTTCTGCAGAACCAGGTTCGGTTAGCAAATCCAGACTCTCATCGAATCAAGGACCAAAATGGCAAGGTTTGCTGCCATGCCGATCAAAAACTGAAACACAACAGGCATCAATTCCCCTCAGCCGGGTTTTCCTCGGTGCATACCGCGTTGAGACCCAAGTTTGAGACCCAAGTTTGGGACCCAAGTTTGGGACCCAAGTTTGGGACCCAAGTTTGGGACCCAAGTTTGGGACCCAAGTTTGGGACCCAAGTTTGGGACCCAAGTTTGGGACCCAAGTTTGGGACCCAAGTTTGGGACCCAAGTTTGGGACCCAAGTTGGGACCCAAGTTTGGGACCCCAAGTTTGGACCCAAGTTTGGGACCCAAGTTTGGGACCCAAGTTTGGGACCCAAGTTTGGGACCCAAGTTTGGGACCCAAGTTTGGGACCCAAGTTTGGGACCCAAGTTTGGGACCCAAGTTTGGGACCCAAGTTTGGGACCCAAGTTTTGGGACCCAGTTTGGGACCCAAGTTTGGGACCCAAGTTTGGGACCCAAGTTTGGGACCCAAGTTTGGGACCCAAGTTTGGGACCCAAGTTTGGGACCCAAGTTTGGGACCCAAGTTTGGGACCCAAGTTGGGACCCAAGTTTGGGACCCAAGTTTGGGACCCAAGTTTGGGACCCAAGTTTGGGACCCAAGTTTGGGACCCAAGTTTGGGACCCAAGTTTGGGACCCAAGTTTGGGACCCAAGTTTGGGACCCAAGTTTGGGACCCAAGTTTGGGACCCAAGTTTGGGACCCAAGTTTGGGACCCAAGTTGGGACCCAAGTTTGGGACCCAAGTTTGGGACCCAAGTTTGGGACCCAAGTTTGGGACCAGTTTTGGACCCAAGTTTGGGACCAAGTTTGGGACCCAAGTTTGGGACCCAAGTTTGGGACCCAAGTTTGGGACCCAAGTTTGGGACCCAAGTTTGGGACCCAAGTTTGGGACCCAAGTTTGGGACCCAAGTTGGGACCCAAGTTTGGGACCCAAGTTTGGGACCCAAGTTTGGGACCCAAGTTTGGGACCCAAGTTTGGGACCCAAGTTTGGGACCCAAGTTTGGGACCCAAGTTTGGGACCCAAGTTTGGGACCCAAGTTTGGGACCCAAGTTTGGGACCCAAGTTTGGGACCAAGTTTGGGACCCAAGTTTGGGACCCAAGTTTGGGACCCAAGTTGGGACCCAAGTTTGGGACCCAAGTTTGGACCCAAGTTTGGGGACCCAAGTTTGGGACCCAAGTTTGGGACCCAAGTTTGGGACCCAAGTTTGGGACCCAAGTTTGGGACCAAGTTTGGGACCCAAGTTTGGGACCCAAGTTTGGGACCCAAGTTTGGGACCCAAGTTTGGGACCCAAGTTTGGGACCCAAGTTTGGGACCCAAGTTTGGGACCCAAGTTTGGGACCCAAGTTTGGGACCCAAGTTTGGGACCCAAGTTGGGACCCAAGTTTGGGACCCAAGTTTGGGACCCAAAGTTTGGGACCCAAGTTTGGGACCCAAGTTTTGGGACCCAAGTTTGGGACCCAAGTTTGGGGAACCCAAGTTTGGGACCCAAGTTTGGGACCCAAGTTTGGGACCCAAGTTTGGGACCCAAGTTTGGGACCCAAGTTTGGGACCCAAGTTTGGGACCCAAGTTTGGGACCCAAGTTTGGGACCCAAGTTTGGGACCCAAGTTTGGGACCCAAGTTTGGGACCCAAGTTTTGGGACCCAAGTTTGGGACCCAAGTTTGGGACCCAAGTTTGGGACAAGTTTGGGACCCAAGTTTGGGACCCAAGTTTGGGACCCAAGTTTGGGACCCAAGTTTGGGACCCAAGTTTGGGACCCAAGTTTGGGACCCAAGTTTGGGACCCAAGTTTGGGACCCAAGTTTGGGACCCAAGTTTGGGACCCAAAGTTTGGGACCCAAGTTTGGGACCAAGTTTGGGACCCAAGTTTGGGACCCAAGTTTGGGACCCAAGTTTGGGACCCAAGTTTGGGACCCAAGTTTGGGACCCAAGTTTGGGACCCAAGTTTGGGACCCAAGTTTGGGACCCAAGTTTGGGACCCAAGTTTGGGACCCAAGTTTGGGACCCAAGTTTGGGACCCAAGTTTGGGACCCAAGTTTGGGACCCAAGTTTGGGACCCAAGTTTGGGACCCAAGTTTGGGACCCAAGTTTGGGACCCAAGTTTGGGACCCAAGTTTGGGACCCAAGTTTGGGACCCAAGTTTGGGACCCAAGTTTGGGACCCAAGTTTGGGACCCAAGTTTGGGACCCAAGTTTGGGACCCAAGTTTGGGACCCAAGTTTGGGACCCAAGTTTGGGACCCAAGTTTGGGACCCAAGTTTGGGACCCAAGTTTGGGACCCAAGTTTGGGACCCAAGTTTGGGACCCAAGTTTGGGACCCAAGTTTGGGACCCAAGTTTGGGACCCAAGTTTGGGACCCATTTGGGACCCAAGTTTGGGACCCAAGTTTGGGACCCAAGTTTGGGACCCAAGTTTGGGACCCAAGTTTGGACCCAAGTTTGGGACCCAAGTTTGGGACCCAAGTTTGGGACCCAAGTTTGGGACCCAAGTTTGGGACCCAAGTTTGGGACCAAGTTT